CTGGAACCTTCCTTGAAGTCTCTAAAAATATTACATATTCGTTAAAGAAAGATTTTAAAATTATGATTTGGTCCCTAAGAACCATTCTTTCTTTTTAGATCACCTTAAGGACTTTTGATCACTTGGGCTTAGTAGCTTACTAAAGTCTGGCATATTCTTGAGCTTCTAGGCTAAAAATGTAGGATGTTACAGTTATACAAGGAGTCCTAAGTCCTAAAGTGTGTTTTAGATGTTAAGAATAGATTTTGGCACAAGTATAAAGTTTTGGACGCCCCTTAAGTTATGAAAAGTTGTTTGAGTGTCTATATTCCTTGCATAACTTAATTTGGAAGTAAAATGTCATTAGTTAGTTTATGAAAAGAGCTTTTCATAGACGTCTAAATCATCTCATTCGGACATCAAATAAAGAAATGGGCATGTTGGAAGTTGCCTGAAATTGCTATCAAATGACAATAAAATTGCTATAAAAACATGTAACATGCTGCGACACGTGGCATAAAGAGTGAGAAGCCGCGGCATACTGTCTTGTTTTTCATAAATTGGTTTTTTTCAACTATTTTTGAATCTTTTCACTTCTCTTAAGGCATCCCATGCCGTCAAAACTTTATTTTACTCTAATTAAAAGTTTAATAAATGATTTTGCTATTTTAAAATATGAAAAATTGGGATCTTATTTTTACAGAATTAAAACTTGGTAATCTTTATTGAGGTTGGACTCTTGATTACCTTGAATTTAAGTATTAATTGTGACTTGATAGGAGAGATTTTACATGCATCATGCCATTTATGTTCACTCATTTAGTCTAATAAAAATTTATTATGTTGCACCAATTCAATTAAATAAAATCATATATGTCATAATTTTTAATTACTTTATTTTTAGAATAAAGGGCCTCTTTAATTTTTTGTCTTTTTTCTTTATTATCATCAATAGTAAAATCAATTTATATTTATAACTATTTAAAATGGCATATTTTTATTGGATAGAATATTGATGATGTAGTGCATGAGTCTATATAAGAATTTCACCTTGGCCCAAAAAAAAAAAAAGAATTTCTCCTACTTTTAAAATGAGGCCATATAACATTTTAATTACACACACACTACCAATAATTAACCAATTAAGAAATTCTTTGGATGGACTAAGTGCATGCCGTCATGGTTCATCTAATAAAAGCATAATATTTAGATAGCATTAAAGATTTAAATGTAAATTAATTTTAGTATTAATGATAGTAGAAAGAGATAATACAAGAAATTTAATAGACATTCTATTATAAAAATAAAATTATTAAAAATAATAATACATAAAATTTTATTTGATTGAATGGATGTAATTTTATTAGATGGATCATGAATGACATAATACACTAAATTTATCTAAAAATTTTTGTAACCAATTTTGAAGGTTCATACTTTGTGAGTGGACCCACAATCTTGTTTTTGAAAGAAATATTTATAAGGAGAAATATAATATATTTAGCGTTATATATTTTAGAGCTTAGATGGCTTATTTCAATTAAATGAAAGGATGTGTATTTTTATATATTAATTATTTTATAATAATTTTTTATTACTTTTATCAACATTTTCAAAATTTATTTGTTTTGATTTAATGAGACAAAAATATATTATGGATTTTGCTTTATATGAATTAGACATGTGCTTCTTATGCATTACATGAAATTAAGGAACATCCGTATAATGACTTTAAATTTTAAATTAAATAAATTTCTCTTTCAATTGAAATTAAATTTAATTGTCAAAATTCTATAAAAAGTGGAGAGTGGTAGTTTAGTAAAATTTATGCTAGTAACTTTCTTGAAGGTCCAGAATTAAATTTTTTTGAGTAAAAGTTTGGTTTTATTTGTTTTAAATTATAAAAAAATTTGTGCCTTTTCTTGTAATTTTCTTTATGTCCTTTCTTGTAAATTTTCTTGTGCTGTTTCTTATCATTTTTTCCAATTTCTCTTTTTCTTTCTGATATTTTTCTCCCTTACCATTTGAATTACAAAGCATCCTATTTTTTTCTTCTTTCCTCTTCATCGACATCTTGCTCCTCTTTTCTGTTCACCATCAGATTGCTCTCCTTGCTGTCAACGTTCTTCTCTACTTTGAACCTCGCTGTTTTTGCTCATCTCTCTACCACTGTGAGTCTACTGTAATTTCCACTGTTGTTTCACTTTTTTATGTCTTTTTCTTTTCTCGATGACAATGTGGTGTGTAAGGTCTCCCTTATTTAATCACATGTAATTTCATAAAGATGGTAAATAAGGGATTAACTCTCAAAGGATTATCAAAGTTGTAATTACATAAATGAGAATAATTCTAAGATCATACATAATAGAATCCCAAAACTCAATTTTCAATCTCAAACAAAATTCTGATATACTCAAATCAAAATTTGAAAACAATGCGAAAGCTTAAAAATCACATGAGACTCAAAACAATGAGTTTTCAAACTCAAAACTGTGTTTTGTGTAGAAAATGACTCATGTGCCGTGGCTCACCCAACTTTGTGGCATATTTTATATTCTATATTGAATGTAATTTTATATTAATTATAAAATAAAACAAAAAATATAAAAAATAATTTATAAAATATAAAAAATTACTTATAGGCCTTGTGAAACAAAATTTTTTACAAATGAGTTTTGCAAAATAAAAAAACCACAAGTTTCTTGAGACCTAATTATAATTTAAAATTAGAGTGTAAAGACAATAATGTTCCCATTAAAAATACATTACATCAATCAATTAATTTACTACTATTTTATTAGTAATTTATAATTTTTATTTTTATTTTTTACAACTGTAACTTCACATATTTAATAATTAAATTGATCATGCATTATAAGTTTGATATTAATTGTATACAATTGCCTCATCAATAATTCATAACTATCATTTCAATCTTTTACAACTATAACTTTACATATCTAATAGTTAATTCTATCATACATTACTAACAAAATTTAACACTAATTGTTTACAACTAATTCATCAGTAATTTATAATTATCACTTCAACTTTTTACAAATGTAACTTTATATATCCAATAATTAAATTGATCATGCGTTACAAGGGTTAAAGAGTATTTTTACCTTTATACTTTTCTTTGAGGAGCCTTAGCACCCTGTGCCTTAAGCGAGGCATTTCTACCCTTGTAAAATTTTATCTAGGTATAAATTTCCCCTTCAATTAACTTACTGTCATGTCTCTTGTCTTCTGCTTATCTAGCTCATTTGTGGGGCCTACTTAACATGCCTTAACCCATAATTTAGCCCTCCGACATGTAATTGTGGAAGTGTCTTGATGGCTTCGAGATGGATCAATTTCAACTTGTTTAGCTTTAGCATCAAGATTGCAACCAAACATGACAAATTGTTTTCGCTTAGCGCTAGGTCCTTGTCTGGAGTGACTGATTTAAGCAATTCATACATTGGACCTTCCTTTTCGAAGGTCATGACCTTAGACTTGACATCCACCACAATGAGCTTTACATTATGTTTGGGAGAATTTTTTTTGAAAAGAATGGAATGAAGTAGGATAACTAAAAGGCCCTCACCAATTTGATTTGGGAAACGATGCTCCATTGTTGCAAAATGAGGAGCAAAGAAGCTAGGCAATGATCATGGTTCTTCAACTGCTTGTGATCTTAGATTTTATTTAGAACTGTATCCAAAGCATTAACAACTCACTCAAGCATTTCAACTTCGCCATTGACATAGTCAAGTAAATCAACGAGCAAGGGCACAAATCCTTCTAACTTCATGAGGAACTCTTGATTCTCTTCAGATTCTTTAGAAAAATATACAATTTTTGTTAAGGAATCAAGACAGTTCTTGTCATGGCTGTCCAAATGTTTCATAGCGTCGACAACTTGGTTTGGGAAGGGGATTGTTTTTATGGCTAGAGATTTAGCTAATTCAACTTGGTTGTGAATTGAGTTGGACTAGATTTGGATAAGCCTTTATAAAGTATGGTTAGGAACAAACTCTTTGGTTTGCAAAACCTGCATGGTCGCAAGGCAGTAGCTAGTATTGGATGTTGGAATGGTCGTAGGTAACTAATTGTGGGCAATAGACATTGTGGGAGAAGAAGAACACAACTCCATCTATCTTATAAGAAGATAAATGCTAGAGGGTCAAATTGAGGGTCAAACACCCAGGTGGCATGTTAAATGGGCCCTACAAACAAATTAGATGAGTAAAAAACAACAGACATGACGGTAAGTTGATGGAAGGGGAAATTTACGCTTGTGTAAAATTTGACATGGGTAGAAATATCCTACTTAGTGGTATAGGGTGGCCAACACTTCTTAAAAGAAAGTACATAGATAAAAATATTCCTTAATCCTAATTTCAAATTACACTCATATTCTAGAAGACTTGGTTGTCGTTTTTAAATTTCATGAAACTTATTTGTAAATATATTTATTCCACTTGAACGTATACGTAGTTTTCCCTATATTTTATATTGATTTTAATTTTATATTAATTTTAAAAATAAAACAAAAAAAGATTAAGAATGAATAAGAAGACATGTGCATCTAACTTAGTTTGAGACTAACCAATCAATCCATAGATTATCAATGTTACTATTAATATAAAATTTATGACTACTACTCACAAGTTATAATAAATTATAAAAAAGGTATATAATTCTGTTTTGCCATGCAATGTAACCCTTTTTTTTTTTTGGGTAGCACTCAGCCTTTTAAGATTCGATTTTTTGAAGGTTTGTATGAAAGAATATCATTTAGGAAAGAATAATCCTTTAAATAATACTTAAATTTTTTGAAAAATTAATCTTATGATTGCCGGACTACCATGGATAAAAAAAATTGAAAGATATGGAAAATTAAAATAATCACCTATCCCGTAAATTTTATAAAATAAATTATTTTTCATGATCACCAGGCAAGAATCAACACCCAATTACCCTTTGATTAAAAAAAAAAAAACCACTTACCCGCGGCTCTCGCGGTTCTGCTTCCAAGCGTAGCGAAGCTGCGGAGGTCCGAACAAGAAAGCGCCAAACGACACTTCGTAGGGATAGCATCCGTAACAGCAACGAAACGACACTATCCCGTCGATCTCATGCTTGTAACCGCTCGAATCGGTTGTCCTCAGTTGACGCTTCTCAATCCTCGCCCAAAGCATCAGAGAAAGGGACTCGGATTCTGGCTTCTGTGAAGAAGCAGTAACTGCGGGAAGCAACGGAGAAGATGGGAGATGACACAGAAGATCCACAGAAACTGAAGCGGATAGCAGCGGCTTCCTATGACTACGAGAACGACCCAAGATGGGCCGACTACTGGTCAAATGTCCTCGTCCCTCCCCATTTAGCCTCACGTTCGGATGTCGTCGAACACTACAAACGCAAATTTTACCGGCGCTTCATAGTATGAACTTTTTTAACTACTTCACTTTGATTAGTGGATGTTTGTTGTTTGATTGTTGTTGTGCATGTGTATTTCCAGTTCTCAGAACTGGATTGAAGTGGTAAAGTTCACTCGAAGTCATTTCCTTTGTCTATTTCAAAGTTGCTAATGCTCATTTTTTATTAGGAATGAAAGCCTGAAAATATCATTTGGGCTGTACATAGCTGTAACCTTCCCCGGATCGGGTTATCTATTAGATTAGGCGCTTTAGGTATTATGATTATTAATGGCGAATAAAGGTATTATAATTATTTTCCTTCAAGCATCTACTTGCCCATTGGGCATTTGAGTTCTTTTAGTTGTGGCCGTATTAGCATACAGTTGTCCTTGCTCGGGTTTAGATGCTTGAACTTCAAACAAATAAGAACTTCGATTTCACAGTGTTTGTATATGCCTTTGTTTGTATGGCATAACTGCTAAGCATGAATATTTGTCGGCATCAAGCCATATGGTTATATTATTATTTCTTATCATACCCTATTCCTTGTCACTTCGGATTGTTATTGTCTAGAACTAATGTAGTTAACCTCAGGCTGTTGCTATAGTAAGCAATTTGCTCGTGTCAGAAAGATCACAAGACCAGTTTTTCAAGCTGTTGATAATATAAGAACTGATTTCTTTGAAGGTGTATTCGTTTGTTTGTCATATCTATTGGTGGTAGATCAGTTATTGGTTTATCGATGCTTTGAGGAGAGATTAGACATTGATTTTCTGTTATATAGATTTATTACGTTGAGTTAATTTAGTTCATATTTCTAATTACTTAGTACAGTGTTTTTTATTAACTCCTTTTTTTTAATGTTTTTTAAACAGTAATTTTTTACTAGTATATAATCCAATTAGATTGTGCACTGTTTGGATGTCGCCACAAATATAAAAGTACTCGTATATTTTGGGTTACCTTCAATTTCTGTTTAGATGCTGCACAATTTATGTTTCTACGTAAATTGCTTTCTTATATTTTTAAATGAATTCCTCCTGTTTTTCAAATATTCAATAGGATCCTGAGCTCATAGTCAAACCAATGTCTACTAATGGTTCTTCCCAGCCATCACGACCTTCGACAACAGCAACATCATCTGGAAGAAATGAGCAAGCTGCCTCACGAAACTCAGGTAAATTTTTCTTCTGAAAAATTTCTTTCATTTGTATAAGCATGTTAAAAAGAAAGAGGAAAAGAAAAGGTTATATGAAGCCTAGCTTGCGTTGTTAATAATTTTCTTTGATTCTTCAGTTACTGAGCTTTTCTGTAACTGTTGAATTGATTTTCAAAGCTGATGTTGCAGGAAGGGGATCAACTAATAGAACCTCAGGAACATCTTCAACTACCGGTCCTATCCCATCTTCCTTGCGTTGGGGTCATCAGACAATTCAGTTTTCTGTTAATGCTTGGGTACAGTTTTCTAATTGTTCAGATATGAATTCATTCATTCTTTACTTATGATATGTCTTAATTTGCATGTGAACAAGTATTCATGTTTTACTTCTTTTCAACTACACCTTATGACATTTCACTCAATGTTGTTTTATATTATTTCCTTGCCAATCAAAACCCTCCATTTGTAGAACCCTCTTTAGGTAGTCTTTCAGAATTGTCAACCACCAAGGATGATACTGATTCGTGCTTGCTCAAGTGGCATGGGAATCATCTTTCAAAAGTTAGCCATTGAGATGGAAGAACTAAACCACTTAAACACCTCATAGAATATCGCATATGACTCACTCTAGGATTTAAACATTCCATACTACATTAGTCTCCATCACAAGTATGCCATGTAAAATAATGTGCTGCACCAATAAGCATTTTTATACTGTATAAATATATCCAAAATCATTAGGGATGGCTTAGGAATGGATCAAGATACTTTTTGGATTACTTTTGCTCTTGTATTTTGCCTCACCTCCACCCCATTCCCCCTGCTTGGATCATGCTAGTTTAAGGTATAGGGGTTTATACTATTTAGATTAGATTATTTTTAGTAATTAGTGAATTCAATATTAAGTAATTCATGCCATCCCAGTGAATTTGAATTTTATTATAAGATTTATTTGTATTTGTGCCATTCGTAGTTTTTTAGGAAGGGAGAATTCCTTATAATGATATAACACTCTTAAGTTAATTGAATTATATGATTATATTCTAAGATGTATTTGCATTATAAAATTTAGAATTTCTACTAATTAAATAACTCCCATATGAAAGCATGTATTTTAAAAATTAATTAAAGGCTTATAATTCATATTTTAAAATTAATTTCAAACATAATTTAAATGAAACTGAATGGTTGACCTAATGATAAATGCTAAAAATCAAAGTTAATTCTCTTAAAACTGTCTAAATATGCCCAAATACCAGTTTAAGATTGAATCATATACACTCAAATAGGGGGAAGCAGGACAGGCCATAATTTCTATCCCTTGAATCCGTATCTTCTGCTTACTCATCTGAAATGATCACTGTTACTGATGCTTCTACGAATTTCTTTTATTTAGGTTTTTGTTGTTGCTGTCCTTGCTGTCTTCCCGCTGGTACCTAGGAATGTTTCACAAAGGGCATATCGACTTTCTTTTATGGGCACAGCATGCTCTTCTCTCTACTCGTTGTACTCACTATATGGGGTAACTTTTCTGTTCTCATTTGACAGTCAATATTATCCCCTTGATGTCTTCATGTCTAGTCATTCTTTGGTGCATTGTCTTCTATATTGCAGAAACCAAGAGCATGGAATTTCCAGGCGTTGCAAGTTTACTTTCAGTCAATAATTGCAACCAAGGATTTTATATATTTCATCTACTGCCTCACATTTGTTACTTCACATCTATGGCTTAAATGTGAGTATTGCTTGGCCAGTTAAACCCATGATACTTTTGCTTGTTTCTCAGTATTTTTAAATGCAAGTAATGTTTCCATTTCTCCATGTAATATCCATATCTTGATTTTGCATGATGCGTCGAAATTTCTGTTTTAGTTGCTTTGATTCCCATCCTGTGTTGGTCATTGGAGCATGTTGCCAAGTTCCTCAGACGTAATTTCAGTCGTCCCACTTCGTACAGGTGAAACACTAACAATCTATGGTTCTGATGGTCATGTCATTTACTGACTATAAGTTGTAAAGTTTTAACCACAGCTGATTTGTGCAAATGTTACACGTTCCTGCATGGTTTGTGCAAATTATAAAACCTAAGATTCTCTCCATCTATTTTACTTGATTGTTGATTTTCAGTTAATCATATTTTTCTTTTTTGATGCTTTTTGTGAGATCAGTACTATACAAACAGAATTTCAAAAATTCACTGTAGGAGGAGAATAGTGTTGTTTATATCATTATTCTTTAAATGATAAGTAAGCTTTTCAAAAGAAATTGTTTACACTAGAAATTTAGAATATGCAACTATCCTTTGTAGTCTGTACTTACTGCCGCTGTTACTTAGCTATTTATGATTTGTAGTTGATAAGTACTCCCTGGTGCAAGTCTCTATATGTACTTGAGGTCTTGTTGTGGAAGTTTCTGATTGCCTGTCTTCTGTTATATTTTATTTTTATGGAGTGAGAAGCTTAGAATCTACAAGTTGCTGAGTTTCATATAAGTAATATATTTATTTCTTCTTTAACTTGAATAGGAAATATTTGGAAGACCTTTGTGTTTGGGTGGAGTCAAATAATACTACTCTGGGTATACTGACATCGCATGTGGAGATTGCACTGGGCTTCCTTCTGATCATATCGCTATTCTCGTCTGTTTTTCAATCTTTTCTCTTTCCTTTTGACCCTTGTGTTATTTTGCTGCAGAGCCTTTTTTTTATGTTGCTGATATTGAAAACTTCAAGTATGAGGTAATTATAATTTTTTGAACTATTAATGCAGGTGGCAGCGCAACATAATACAAACATTCATGTACTGGCAGGTTTGTTTCTCTTCTATCCAAATAAGTGCATAGTTCATTTGCTGAGATTCCAGTATAATTAATGTCGTTATAGATATGAAATTGTTTTATGCTTGTCCTTCTTGAAACTAGGATAAACATCGCATGGTGCGCCCTTGAAATGTATATTGTGCCTGTTGACTTAGTTAACTGTTGTTGTCATGGCACAGCGCCAAAGCTTTGCATCACATGCATCACTTGGGGCGTTGCCAAATTTACATGCCACACATCACCAGATTTGTGGTGCATGATGCATGATGCTCGGATGAAAGTTAATGCTATTACATTGGTTTCACTGTTATTATGCCACACAGCACATTTTTGTTGTTCTTTGGTTTCACTGTCTTTTCCTTCTGTGTTTTCCCATGCGGCTTTCTTAGCATTTCGCTCATCTCCGGCAAACTTGTTTGGGTTCGGTCTTGGCTGTTATTACATTGGACAATGGGAGGGACACTTTCTCTCAATTTTCAAAACCTTTCAATTTTGCTGCTTATAAAGCTAAAAGAATAATATAACGATTGATGAATTACATCAGTCTCAAGTCCCTCCAATAATTTTTCTTAGAGTTTTGAAATTTCAAGGTATTACCCTACATGTTATATACTTTGTTTGTGCTTTTTGCAGCTTCTGAAGCTCATGTATCATGCTCCTGTTTCTGCTGCTTACCATCAAAATGTTTGGGCTAAAATCGGGAGGGCTGTTAATCCATTTATCAATCGCCATGCTTCATTCTTGAATACTCCATTATCATCTGTACGAAGATGGTGGTTCAGATAGAAGCGAGGGAAGATACAGTGGCAAGTAATTCCATCGAGAAATTACTTGATTGCCTGCCTTTCCCCCCCCCCCCCCCAAAAAAAAAATCGTAGAAAGAATGTCAGATGAAGGAACTAGTAGCCCTTTTGATCATACATGGAGCTGAAGTTTGTTCATGTTCTCTTTTGTTTGAAAATAATGATTTGATTGTGGATGGTGCTTTTACCCCGGAATTGTGCATGCCCAATGTGTAGCTTCGATCAATGTCTCAAATAAATCCATATGTCCACTGATCTGTGATGTATTGTCAATTTGTCGTTCACATGTGACATGTCTTGAGTACTCAAACTATACAAAATTTTGTTCCAGGAAACGGGAGTGTTCTTTAATTTTTTTTTTTAAATTGCTGCTGAAAAAGTGTGTCCGAAAGGAATGTTTATTGGTGATATTATGTGTTATGCAAGTTTATATGATTTAGGTAAGGTTTTGTGCGTGTGCATGAAATCTACTGTGTAAAGTGCATGGCTTTTTGCATTGTTCCCATGAAGAGTACTTTGAACAGTTCGTTGTAGGTTCCACATTTTTTGAGTCATTTTTCGTATTTCAATTTTTGCCGTGGGTTCTATATTTTTTTGGGTCCTTTTTCCCCGTTCAATTTTTATAATCATCATTAATATCAGTCATCATCAATCACAAGTGGTGAAGTACAACAGTATTATACTTTGATTTTGTAGATAAGTAGTTCTTTGACTTCATTTTTTATTATGTAGTTTTAATTTTTTATGAATAATATATTCTGGAATTAAAAAATAGCTTTAGTTGTTATAATTATTTTTGCTTGGAGAATTAAAATACTCCATCTGTTCAAAAGGTATTTTTTTAAGAGTTAGATTTTTAAAAATGTAAGGTATTTTTAATCTTTTAACATGTTATTATTATTTTTTTTAAATGCTCCTATTGATAGTGATTTTATATTTATTATAGGTTGTTTATTAGGAGTAAATATGAAAAGTTAGGATTAATTTAAAAATGGGTTACAACTTTATTGAGGGGTGAGATTTGGTTAAAAATACCCTACATTTTTAAACAAAATGAGTCTATAGTTATCTATACTTTCATTGTTATAGTTATTTATTTATTTATAATTTCTTATAAATTTTCATTTTTTTGGGCAAGTTGTAAAATTTCATTTTAATAAAAATATCAAATTAATATTTATTTAATATTTAATTTCTATTAATTTTTAATATCCCCATAAAGGTCTATTGAAGGAAAAAGCATCATAAAGGCGTAAAATTTAATTTGAACTAAGGCCTCATTTGATATTATTAAATGATTTTTGATGGAACAATAGTGAGAGTGAGAGTGAGCTTAAAAGATATATTAGGTACGACTGAATTTTCTAATGAAATCATACTTTAGACATTTGTTTGGTGTAAATGTTTTAATCACATTCAGTTTTCATCAATCATGTTTGATATGATCTGATAATTTAGATTTAAGGGAGGTTTGACATATCAAAATATAAAATATTTTGAGAATATACAAATTTTATGAAAATAAATTTATTTTAATATTATTCTTTTTTTTATTTAATTTTTGTCATTTTTATTTTCAAAATATCAAATAAATAATATTTTTAAAAAAATAAGATTGTTAAATATATTTAATAAGATTTATTAATTTATGAGTGATTTATAATTTGGAAATAGGAGAGTAACTTTTTACTCTCTCCTCCTAGACGGCTGTGAAACGATAAATTTGGGAGAAAATAATTAATGATTCATCCTTTTATATCAATCGCCAAGTGACTAATCAAAAAAACTATAAATTCTTTTTAAAATGCGACATATATCTTATTCTATATATAAATTATTTTTAATTATCTTACTAGAATAAAAAAGAGGTAGTTAAATTGTTGATGTTGTTTGGGAAAAAGAAAAAAAAAGATATTTTTTAATTTATCCTTCTTAAATATGTCATCTTTAAAAAACTTTTTCTCTCATATGTAACTTTTCCTCTACTCATAAAAAAATTGTAAAACAATAAAATTGGAAGAAAGTAATTAATAATCATCTTTTTGTGTAAAATGACTTTTAAAAGGATGATAATTTTTTTAGAATATGACTTATATTTTTTGACAAGTGAATATGACTTACTCCCTCAATTCAAAAATGTAAATTATTTTTTAAGGAGTTAGATGTTTAAAAATGTAAAGTATTTTTAGTTTTTTGAGATGTAATTATTGCCTTTTTTTAAAAGTGTCCCTATTAATAATGACTTTATATTTATTATAAGATGTTTAATAGGGGTAAATATAAAAAGATAGAGTTAGTTAAAAAGTAAGTAATTACTTTATTAGCGGGTAAAATTCAGTTAAAAATATCTTATATTTTTAAATGGAGGAAGTCTATTTAAGACTAGAGGAAGTAGTCTTGTTTATAAGAAAGAGAGGGTAATTATTTCAGTTTTATTTATAAGATATCTTAATAATTTTTATGTCAATTTTTATTTTTTTTACCTTTATTAAATGGTGAGAAGGCTATTAGATGTTATAATATTTTACTTTTGACATACATATATTTAATTTAATAAAAATAAAGTTAAGAACTTGTTGTATTTTTAAATAAAAAAGTTTAATTTTTTTTTAATTATAGTGAAACATATATCTTTGGTACTAGTGAAACATGGAGTGACTTACAACTTAGATAGGAGGGAGTACTTTTTAAAGTTTGATTTGTTATAATTAATTAACTATATTTTTTACGTTTAAAACATTAATCCTTGTAATTAATATTAATAATAAATAAAATCTCGGTAATCCTCTAAAGTCCAACCTGTATTCGCGGCTTCTCTTCTTTTCTAGTCTCTGATCGTCACTTGAGGATTGAGCCAAAATTGAGGCACTCTCCCTTGCTACGAGTTCAGCCTACGGCCCAGGATTCGACATGACAAAAAACAGAAGAAAAAGAAAGGTTAACCTACACCGTTGATTCAAAGATATCTCAGCCGTTCATATCTGTTTTAACTTTTTTTTTTAAATTTTTTCAGAACTTCTTCACGTTGTTCCAAGTCACGTTTCTCGCTCTTCTTCTCCGTTCTCGGCGGTTCGTCGTGATCTCTCGGTGGAGATCTCTGACGCTGTACCCCCCTCCTGCGTACTTCTCCGTTCTCTATCGTGCTATTTGCCACCGGTGGTTCTATCTATCTCGCGCTGTCCTCTCTTCTTAGCGCTTCTGCCATGCTTTTCTCGTGATGTCTTCTTGTTTTCCCCTTCGCCGTGCTGAGATTGAGCGATTGAGATATTATAGCAGATAACTTCTCAAGAGCAAGGAGAGAGGGAACTAACGGGGCCCAGTGGAGGGAGAGACTGAGGAATATATTCAAATTGATAATCTGAGGTGAATTTCTTTCTGTTGATTCTGTATTTCAAAGTCCCCAGTGTCGATTAGAGGATTGCCTGCCTGTCAATTTGGTTCTGTGTGGTTTGAAGGCAGCTGTGTGGTTTAATCAGATATTCGTTCTCATCTGAATTAGGTCAATGTTGATCTGCATCCTTACTTTGTCTTCTCATTGCGCCTTATTGAACGTTGGCTCTTGCTTTTCTGTTTTTAATTGTCGATCATTATGATGCTTCTCTGGAACTGGCCATTGTTTCTTGTATGAAGGCATGATCTGAGTTGATTTGATATGAATAATTTAACTAGGTTAGGTTGCCCATTCTCCTTTTCTATTTTAGAGTATAATGCTGCCGAAAGCCAAGAAGCTTAGTTGATATTTTTGGTGCAATTGAACTGCTATTGTTGGTTAAGATGGTTTATATAATATATTAATAGGTTTGCACAATTATAGTCCTTGATAGTGATAAACTAACAGCTCCTCCTTCAAGCTCTGTCCGTCTTGTTTGGTTTGCACCTTGTTCAGGATTTGATCGCAATAGTTGACTAGGTATTTGGTAGCTTTGCCGTTCCAGATATTCGTGGCTTGGTTGTTTAGATGGCAAGGGTAAGAGATAGAACGGAGGATTTTAAAGATGCTGTGCGAAAGAGTGCTCGCTCTTTGGGGTATGATGAGGTTTGTTTAGTCCCTTGATTCTATTATTCTGAATACCCATGAATTCTGTTGCTAATATATAATAATTTGTTTTAACATAGTCTATTAAGGTCACGTAAAATTTTCATTTCAAACAAATTGTATTTGTTATGAATCTTGAAAATGGTGCATTGTAATTTGCTATTGTTGCTGTTTATATGGTCTATATGTGAAATGGTAGTTAATTTGAACGCCCCCCTTCCCCAAATAATTCATCGTTTAACTTTTTCTCAATACGGTAACTTTAGAATGCACTAGTGTTAGCCCATCATATATTTCTGGATCCACTGCTTACCTTACCAAGGAGTTTTGGGGGACGAGGGTGTTTTCAAAGAGAATCTTTGTTACATTACTGCCTTATCTCATACATTTTGATTCTTTTGTCAGGCCAAATTGGCATCAGTCATGGCTTCTTTTATCATTCACAAACCTCGGCAAAGGTCACCATTTACTAAAGCTGCATTGAAGACGGTAGACTCCACTTTGCCAGCCCTCCCCTGTTTCCTTCTTATTAAATTTGTTGGAAATTTATTCATTGCATGATCAGCACTACTGCAATTTGGTTGTGAAGACCTTGTTCTGTATTACTATTGTCTTATTATTTACTAAGAAAAGAAATCAATGCTACATGTGCCATCTAAATCACCTTTTTTTAATTTTATATATTTCACCTGAATCTCTTTTATGCCTTTTTCTTTTTGTTTACTAGCTTGAGAGTATTGGAGAATTGGACCAGTTCTTGTTGAAGCACAGAAAGGATTATACAGATCTGCACCGCACAACTGAACAGGAGAGAGATAGCATAGAACATGAAGTAAGCTATGTGATTTGACCTAAGAAACTAGTTTCTGATCTTTGTGGATGGATCACAGTATAAAAATTCACACTTAGAAAATACAAACTGGCAGTAATTGTCCTGCTTTGATTACTACCTTTATTAGATCAAGCTTGTTATGTTAATTTGCTTCCGTTCAGCCATTCAGTTGGATTTACTATTACTCAGTAATATCTTCGAGTTCAGAGTTTTGACTCATTTCTGCAAGGGGCATTAGTTTCTGATGTTTGATGCATTGGACTATCTTATATTACAGTTAATAAATTATTAATGACCTTTTTTGGTATATAAGATTAGTTAAGCGTCCTTGAAAATATGTTGTATATATTTAACAGGATTATTTTGTTTCCAGGTTAGTGCTTTTATTAAAACTTGTCAAGAGCAAATTGATGTTCTCAAAAACAGTATTAATGATGAAGAGGTGAACTCAAAAGGCTGGCTTGGCA